CACGACGGCTTCGAGGATCACTACCAGGATATCGCCGTCGGCGGGCGCCAGGACTGTCGCGCCTCCTCGACACCTGGAGGGGGCTCCGCTCTGGATTGCAGGCCATCGGGGTGGGCATGGTCGCTGCCATCAGATGCATCGCCTGCGTGGATGCGGGCGGCGGCGGCGGAAACATGCGACGCCTCCGCGCCTGGGGGCCCGAGTAGCAGGCTCGCGTGCCCTTCAAGCGCTGGGCGCCGGAGGTGGTGATCTGGTCAGTGGCGAACTCAGATCTCAAAGAGTTTCGCCAAGCGGCCTACATCTCGTCTCGTTTGACTGGCACGGCGCGCGAGTGCGCGGACGAGCGGCCTGCTGTCCTCATCCACGGTGGTCATATCAACGGCAGCCGCCGATGACCAACCACGCGCGCGGCTTGGCCGAGCGGCGGGGCTATCTTGGGGGGGGGGGGGGGGGGGGCGCGCAGGCGGCATCGGCGCTGATGAATTTCAACCGATTGCCGCAGGATCGCGTCGACATACCCCCCGCCGCGGCAGGGCGCAGCCGGCCGGTCAACTCGCGATCGGATGCGGGGGCCTGAGCTACCTCCTGTTGCGCGCGGCGGTCGCGGCGAACGCCCAGCTCGCCGAGATCTTGCAGCGCCGCAACATGGCCCGCCCAACGGGCGCGCCGCATCCAGCGCGCGCGGTGGGCCAGCTACGCAGACTTGGACATGATCGAAGGCTCGGCAGGAAATCTCGCTTCGGTCGCGCATGCGCCCCAACGTCAAGCGCCCCGCGCGGGCGCGCGCCCGCGCGCGATCAGGATCGGAGCGCCCGTGGCACTCGAGCCGGATCGGGCTCGGGATGGCGCGGGCCTTCCAGCCCGCGGGGCGCCGCCGAGTCCGCCCGCAGCACCGACCGCCGCCGACGCAGGCGCAGCAGCGCCGCTGGCGGCATATCCAGCGGCAGGTTTCGATTCTGCCACCGATTCCGACACTGTCAGTCCACTCGGCGAAGAAATCGCTGCCGACGACCCCGAACTGCGCGAACTTCCCATGGAACAGCGCGGCTCGCACCTCTTGTCTTGGGCCCGCGAGCGCGCCGAGCCCCGATGGCGCCGCTTCGACAACGACCGGCCCGCGCGCCGCGCGCGGAGGGTCCGCGAACGCAAGGGGAACGGCCACGGTCAAAACAATCGCGCCTTCCTGGCCGACCTGTCCGACAATGACCTCCGCGATAGCTTCGCCGGTTTCGGGGGGGGGCAGGGGCAAGTGAAAGGGCAAACGTCGGACAAGTGGACTGGGGCTCGGTCGACGAGGCGCCCCGCTGGGCCCGGGCGGGGCACGTCTCAAGTGGCGCGAGTGCGACTCCGAGGGGCACCTCGCGCGCGATTGTTCCCGTCTGCGCCAGCAAGGGCGCGCCCTCTTCCTCGGCGCCCCAGCCTCAGTAACGCCGCCGCCACCGACACCAGCATCCGCACCACTCGCGCACCTGGGACACCGCGGAGCGCCTGGGCCAGCCGCTCAACAACCAGCACCAGGTGCCTAGTCGGTCTGGGTGACCAGGGAACCCTACGGGATACCCGAAGCGTTGGTTCTGGGATCCGGCAACGATGACCCCATGCAGAGCGCCGACCCCTGGAGCGGCGGCCAGCCGATTCCAACTTCGGCAACTACGCGGCCAGCACCACCAGCAGCGGCCCCCAGTGCTTCGCCTGACAGCTCTTGGCAGGCAGTTGGACAGAGCCATTGGTCAAGTTGGGCGGGTACTTCATCGCCTTCATCAGCGTCGCCCAACCCTCATGAGGCCGAACTTGGCCGACTACGTCAGGAGATGGACGACCTCGTCGGCCGCGTACGAAAGGACTCTGCTCAGCCGACGGATAGGGTGACCATGTTGCCAGTCCGTTCGACTCGAGCGGGGAACGCAGCAGCCGCAGCACCCGCAGCTCCAGCAGCATCCGCATAACCACCAGCACCGACGCCACAGCACTAGGCCGGAGTGGCCGGTGCTTTCCCGCTGGGCCACGCAAGGGCGCGACTGGGCATGCGTCATCAGTGCCCGAGCCGCTGTGCCAGCTACCCCCTCCTGCCGATGTGCAGCTGCCGAGCCGGGCCTGCACGCCTTCAATCTCAGCACTCGGTGTCAGCTCCACGTGTCCACGACAGCCAACGCTGGTTGCCGCGTCGCCACCAGCGCCGGAGTCTCCTAACGATCTGGCTCTCAACCAGCGCGCCCCCGTTGACTTGAGCCAGCCATCTAGGTGGCCATGTGGTTCGCCGGCCGCGACGCCTGGATGTCCGGCGGCCTGCGATCCGAACGCGGTGTAGGCTCCGCACTCGACCGCGCACAACAACGACACCTCGACGAGCTCCACAGCACCCAGCTAGCATTTGAGCTCTTACGGCAACAGGACAAACAGCGACGACGAGCCGCACAGAGTTGGACCGAACCCCCTACTAATCTACCTCCTGCGCCGGCTGTCACACCAGCCGCGCCCCGCGTCACGGTCTTCAACGACGACGATCGGGCATGTCTTATCTTCGTCGAGGCCAGCACATGGTGCGCCGCCACATCTTGCGCCAGGCACACTACCCACAGCTCATGCATGACGCCGACGCCCACCTGTTGCACTGCCCGGCGCGCCGCGGCCCGGCTGACGTCATCGCCGAATATCGCTTTATTGGCGCAGATCGTGTTACAGCGGGCCCAGCAATAGAGTTGCCGGCCCGCGCGATGAACCCTGCTGCACCCCGGGCACCGCGCCTGCGGCGTCGGCCCGGCCGTCGCCAGAGAACAGCGTGCTTCAGGAGATGCCGCCGCGCCAGGGCACCGCGCAGACTCCTCGGCTCGCACCGACACCCGGGACACCGCGGCAGGACCGTATGCAGCCCATTGGCAGTGCTTCCAGTTTTGCGTCCGCTGCCGACGTGGCGGCGCCGCGCGACGCCCGCCTGGACTTGCATACTCCGCCGTGCCGACGTCGTGCCGACGTTCCCGTGGCGGCCTACCTCGCCAGGTAAAGGCCCGAGTCCACCTGCCGACTCGCCCTGCTACCTGGCGGGCGCCGGCCTTCCAGGCGGCCAGCTTGTCGCCAATGTGGATGCCGACGCCTGGCCCAACCTTTGGGGGCAACGCTGCGCGATGGACTTGGCCGACAGAGCCATGATGGCTAGGCGTCAACCCGCAGAGGAGAGGCTGACGTCTCCACTCTACGTAGCAGGAGTGGGCAACGGCATGCAGGTTGCCCATTGGGAGGTACACTGCCCCATCGCGGCCGCCACCTGCGACGGCGCGACCGCCCGGCGCAGCGCGCGTGCTCCTGCAGTGGAGGGCGACGGATTCGACCTACCCGCCCCGTTCGGCTTGCAATCCACCCGGTCCAACATCGGGGTTGCGGAGACAGGCGTAGCGCACATGCGCCTTGCATTCCCTGGTCCTGGAGGATACGAGATCACTCGGAGCCCAGGTACTATGCACGTCAACCTCGAGTCAGCTCCAAGTGGGCACTTATGCACGCCAGTTGACAACTTTGACCAGCTCCAAAACCACTGACCAGGGGACTCCCACCTAAACAGCTCTCGCTACCAGCAGTGGTCGGTGACAA